CTGCAAAGACCTGACGTTAGAAAACCAAAAGGGAAGAACATGCTCAGCATTCCTCAAGCTGAGGGAGTTGAAGAAACAATTCAAGCCTCAACTTGCAATATTGAAGGATTCTTTGGGCAAATTATGGAATGATGCAGAAAGCATTAAAAGAAGATGGAAGGGTTCTTTCCTTTCGGCACTGTGGCTGCAGCCATGAGTATGCTCAGCCTTCAGAAGAGGCTTGCTTCCAGTGTTCTCCACTGTGGCAAGAAGAAGGTCTGGTTGGATCCCAATGAGACCAATGAAATCACCAATGCCAACTCCCATCAGCAAATCCGGAAACTGATCAAAGATGGTCTCATCCGCAAGACTGTTACTGTCCATTCTCGGGCTCCATGCTGGAAAAATACCTTAGTCTGCCGCAAGGGCAGGCATACGGGCACAGGTAAGCGGAAAAGTACCACCAATGCTCTAGTGCCAGAAAAGGTGACCTGGATAAGGAGGATGAGAATTCTGCACTGGCTGCTCAGAAGATACCATGAATCTAAGAAGATTGATCACCACATGTATCACAGCCTATACCTGAAAGTAAAGGGAAATGTGTTTAAGAACAAGCGGATTCTCATGGTACACATCCACAAGCTGAAGGCAGACAAGGCCCTCAAGAAGCTCCTGGCTGACCAGGCTGAGGCCCACAGGTCTATGACCAAGGAAGCACGCAAGCACCGTGAGGAACGGCTCCAGGCGAAGAAAGATCATCAAGATTCTGTCCAAGGAAGAAGAGACCAAGAAATAAATCTGCCTCGCTCTTGCCTGTATATAGTGACCTGGGCAATTATATAGATCAGCCATTCAATAAAATAAGTCTTTGTCTACCTGTCAAAAAAAAAAAAAAAAAGATGGAAGGAATACACAGAACCACTGTACCAAAAAGAAATGGTCCATGTTCACTAGTTTCAAGAGGTAGCATATGATCAAGAGCCCATTATCCTGCAGGAAGACGTCCAAGGTGCATGGAAGGCATTGGCAAGGAACAAGGCACCAGAAATTGATGGATTACAAAGGAGGCACTCGCTCATCTTTGCCAAGAAATTTGGAAGGCGGCTACCTGGACAACTGATTGGAAGAGATCCATATTTGTGCCCTTATCAAAGAGAGGTGACCCAATGGAATGCGGAAATCATTGGACAATATCATTAACATCACATGAAAGTAAAATTTTGCTAATGATAACCCAAAACCGACTGCAGCCGTACACTGACAGAAACTTTCAGTGGTTCAAGCTAGAGTCAGACGAGGATATGGAATGAAAGATATCATTTCTGGCATCAAATGGATCATAGCTGAAAGCAGAGAATACCAGAAAGATGTTTACCTGTGCTTTATTAACTACACAGTGGCTTTCAATTGTGTGGCTCATGACAAGGTATGGACAACATTGTGGAAAATGAGTATTCAAGAACATATAATTTTGCTCTTGAGAAACCTATACATAGACCAAGAGGCAGTTTTTTGAACAGAACAAGGGAACATTGAATGGTTTATGCTGAGCCATAATCTGAGAAACTACTTTATATGAAGAAGAATGTGGCACCAGGATTGGAGGAAGACTCATTAACAACCTACGATACACAGATGATATAACCTTGCTTGCTGAAAGTGTTGTTGTTGTTGTTGTGTGCCGTGGAGTCGGTTCCGACTCATAGCGACCCTACACAGGGTTTCCGAGGCTGTAAATCTTTACGGGAGCAGACCGCCTCATCTTTCTCCCGCAGAACCGCTGGTAGTTTCGAACTGCTGACCTTGTGGCTCGCAGCCCGACTCGTAACCACTACGCTACCAGAGCTGAAAGTGTAGAGGACTTAAAATAGTTATTGATGAACATCAGCAGACAGAGTCTTTGGAATGCATTGTACCTCAATGTAAAGAAAGAAAGAAAAAAAAAATCAATCCTCACCACTGAACCAGTAGATAACATTAAGATAAATGGAGAAAAGATCAAAGTTGTGGCTCGCAGCCCGACTCGTAACCACTACGCTACCAGAGCTGAAAGTGTAGAGGACTTAAAATAGTTATTGATGAACATCAGCAGACAGAGTCTTTGGAATGCATTGTACCTCAATGTAAAGAAAGAAAGAAAAAAGAATCAATCCTCACCACTGAACCAGTAGATAACATTAAGATAAATGGAGAAAAGATCAAAGTTGTCAAAGACTTCGTTTTGCTCAGATCAACCATTAACACTCATGGAAGCAGCAGTCAGTAAATCAAATGATGTATTATTGCATTAGGTAAATCTGCTGCACAAGACGTCTTTAATATGTTCAAGACCAAAGATATCAGTTTGAAGACTAAGGTGTGTCTGACCCAAGCCATGGTAATTGGACAGTGAATAAGAAAGATCATAGAAGAATTGATGCCTTTGGGCTATGTTGTTGGAGGAGAATATTGAAAGTACCACATACTGCCAAAAGAACAAACAAATCTGTGTTGGAAGAAGTACAGCCAGAATGCTATTTAGAAGCCAGGATTGCCAGACTTTGTCTTTCATACTTTGGACATATTCTCAGGAGGGACCAGTCCCTGGAGAAGAACAAGTGGAGGGTCAGAGAAAATGAGGAAGACCCCAACTAGATAGATTGGCACAGTGGCAGCAGCAATCAGCTCAAATGCAACAAGGATTGTAAGGTTGGCACAGGGCAGACAGTGTTTCAATCTGTTGTGCATAGAATCGCTATGAGTCAGTACTGACTCAATGGCACCTAACAACAACAACTTCCATAGAGATTACAGTCTTGGAAACCCTGCGAGGCAATTTTATTCTGCCCTATAGAGTTGCTATGAGTCGGAATCAACTCTATTGGAATGGTTTTGGGTTCTAAAGAACAAAGATTTTATCTAGAATATTCGGAAATTTCAAGCAAAACTGACTGAAATTTTATTTTATAATTTTTCTTTTATACGGTTCTTCACCACTTTTTCTAGATTCTCATTCATCACCACCCCTTGGTACTTATTGGCACCCTGCTTCTTGGCAAATTCTCCTCCTTCCGTCTTTGTGATTTGGGCTTCCTTGGTGCTGAATCCTGTTGCTGGTCTCTTTCATGTCTTAAATGAGGACATAGTCAGAGGTTCTGCCTCCAGCTTTCTTTTAGTTTGCTTTATCAGACTCATTATCATGGCCTTAGCCATCTCTGCTGTGGATTTTCCCCTCATCTACTGACAACTTGGCAAAATTGTCTCTTTTCCAGGCTTTGTTTCTACTTCCTAAACTAGTTAGAATTGGGTTTGAACGTAAATGGCTGAATATTAAAAATAATAGTGGATTAGACAACAAAAAGTTGGTTCACCTCATAGAAATGCCCTGCATTGATGCGGATACTCCACAGTCACCAGGATCTCACTTCATCTGTGTTTTGCTCTGCCATCCTCAATGCATGGCTTCTACCTCTTAGCCCAAGATGGTTGCTCCTGATCTAACCATCAAATTTGCATTCCTGCCAGGAGTCAGAATGAATAGAAAAGAGAAAAGCATACTAATGTTTTAAAGGCTCTTCCCAGAGTTTCATATATCAAATCTGCTTACATCCCGTTAGCTAGATCTTAGCACCTTGAATTTGTTGTTGTTAAGTGCCATCGAAATGGTACCAACTCATAACCCTGTGTAGGGTTTCTGAGGAGCAGCTGGTGAGTTTGAACCTCCAACTTTGTGGTTCAACTTGACCTTGTGGTTGAGTGCTTATCCTATAGCACCATACCAGGATTCCAGTGCCTTGGATAGACCTTACAAAGCAGACTGGAAAAAATAATCTTTGTTGTATTGTGGGATAATGCACTAGACTGCAAGGTTGGTTTGAACTGCAAGTTTGGTTCAAATTCACCAACCGCTCCTTGGAACCCCTTCTTCAAAGTAATAAAATACCAGGGTTTTAGCTGGAAATGTTGTTATTGTTAAGTGCTGTCAAATCGATTGTGACTCATAGCAACCCTGTATAGTGTTTCAGAATGACTGATGAGCTTGAACTATTGACTGTGAAGTTGAAATTGACTTTGTGGCCCAGTGCTTATGTACAGCACCCTATCAGGAAGAAGGAGGAGGGAGTAGTCAGCAGTCACTGCCAAATCACCTAGGTTGTTTCTTCTTCAGTTTTCTTATATTTTGCAAATATGACAAATTACCTTTGTAATGTTACTGTAGCACTCATCTTACTGTGCCTTACATTATAAATTGTATACAATTTATAATGTAAACTGGAGTGTAAACTGGAGTTTACTGGAGTTTCGTAAACTGGAGTGTCAGTGAAAAAGAGGAAGACCCTGAGTGAGCTGCATTGACACAGAGGTGCAAGTAGGCAGTGTGTCGTTCTGTTGTGCATCGGGTCGCTGTGTGTCGGAACTGAATCAATTGCATCTAACAACAAAGATGTATAGATGTTTTGCATTGGACATAGGGTGTGATAATATTTTTAAATTGATTACTGCTGATTCTAAGTGGGCAAAGGTTAAACAGAGTGCAGGGAATTACGACTTTAAAAAAAATGGACTCATTTAACAGGTTAGTACTTAACTCATAGTTGTTATTGTTAAGGGCCAGCGAGTCAGTTCTGACTCATAATGATTCTATATGGAGTTTCCAAGGAGCGGCTGTTGGGTTGAACTGCCTGCCTTATGGTTAACAGCCCAGTCCTTATCCCATAGCCCCACAACAGGACACTTAACTCATAGTATTATTGTTATTGTGGTTAAGTGCCATCTAGGCAGGGTTCTGACTCATAGCGACCCTGTATAGGGTTTCCGAGGAGTGACTAGTGGGTTTGAACTGCCGACCTTGCAGTCCATTGCTTTATCCTAGATGCATATTATTTGTCTAAGAAATGAGTGAAAGTTTGAATGATAAATCTCTAGAGTTTTCATTCATTGTGTGTGTGTGCTTCATTTTTCATAGGAAAACTGAAAGATGGTAGAAATTTAATTCTGATTAATTTGATGCATGTTATTTATTTATTTTTTTTTTCCTTTAGTGAGAGTGTATCCTGTGGAATAAGAGAGGCACTGCAGAAAGCAGAAAGAGACCATACAGTCAAAGCTATTGTGATTTGTGGAGCAGGTGCCCATTTCTGTGCAGGTAACCAGTGTGTGATCCTCTAACACTATCTTTAGAATTCAACCACAGACAAAGATTGATGCAGCATTAGCTGTCCCTGTAGGTGATATCTTAGTGTTTTTTATTGTTGGGAGCAGAATGCCTCATCTTTCTCCTATAAAGCACCTGATGGACTCGAACTGCTGACCTTGTGGCTAGCAGCCCAACACGTAACCCATTATACTACCAGGGCTCTTTGTACCTTAGTGTAGGGTATGGTTCAAACTCACCAGTTGCTCCTTGGGAACCTTATACAGTGTTGCTATGAGTCAGAACCAACTAGTTGGCACTAAACAACAACAACAAAGGTAATGGAGATGGGAGACTTAAATGAGAATGAATAACTTTATGAATAAAGTCATAAAACAATCTCAGAATAATGATCTTTGGAGGAGAACCCTACTCCCCTTCTTTGAACTTTAAAATTTTTCTATCAGGTAGGTATACATACTCCTTAGATTAATCAACCATATGAAATCAGAAGGATGGTCTTTGCCCCAGCAAAGAAGAATGAATGGAAAATGCTAAACACAGGAAGGAATTGGAAAGAATGCTGTCACATGTGGGTACAATAGTCAGTGTCATGAAATTAAACATATAAATTGTTGAATGGAAAACCAGTTTGCTCTGCAAACTTTTACTTGAATCTTAATTTATAACCAAAAAATTGATAAAATGGTTACTACCTGGTGTGGCTCTGTGGGTTAATGTGCTGGACTGCAAAGTCGATTTGAATTGCAAGGTCGGCGGTTCAAGCTCACCAACCTATACAGGGTTGCCATGGGTTGGAACCGACTCGACAGCACTTAACAACAACAATCTATCATCTAAGAGCCTTGGTAGTATAGTGGATTATGAAGTGGGCTGCTAATCACAGGTCAGAAGTTTGAATCTACCATTTGCTCCACGGAGGGAAGATGAGGCTTTCTGCTATCATGAAGATTTGTTGTTGTTAAAGTGCTGTCTATTCTGACCCATAGTGACCCTGTATAGGGTTTCCAAGGAACAGCTGGTGAGCTTGAACCACCAACCTTGCCGTTCAAATGACTTTGCAGTCTGACACATTAACCCACAGCGCCACACTAGGTCTCAGCCTTGGAAACCCTCTATAGGGTCACTGATTCAGAACTGACTCCATGGCACACCACTCCTACCACCTATCACTGGGACACACAGACATTAGCTATGATAAAGATCTGAGGATTTTCGCTCACATCTTGCTATATTTCCAGAGTACTTTTCCTTTATTGTGTCTCCATCCAAAAAAACGAAACATTTCATGGGCTCACAGAGACCTGAGGCATCTTAAGCATTGGAAGCTTTAAGTCTTTTGTTTATGGAGATGGAAAATTTGGCAGTGGAAATTAGTGATGATTGCACAAAATAACTCATGGAATCAGTGTCATTGAATTGTGCATGTGAGATTCAGCAAATATTGTATCTATATATTTACAAAAGCTCTGGTAGCGTAGTGGTTACGAATCGGGCTGCGAACCTCAAGGTCAGCAGTTCAAAACTACCAGCTGTTCTGCGGGAGAAAGATGAGGCTTTCTGCTCCCGTAAAGATTTACAGCCTTGGAAACCCTGTACAGGGTCGCAATGAGTTGGAACCGACTCCACGGCACATCACCACCACCACCACAACCAAAAATGTTCTGGTACCTTATTATTAGGTAATAAAAAAAAGCCTTTTTCCATCTTTTTATTTGTTTATTTTTGTCCTTGTCTTTGTGTCCTTAGGTGCTGATATCCATGGCTTCAGTGCTCCAAGATCCTTTAGCCTCCCATTGGGACGCCTAGTAGATGATGTACAAAAAACTGAGAAGCCGGTGGTGGCGGCTATCCATGGCATGGCTTTAGGAGGGGGTCTAGAACTGGCCCTGGGCTGTCACTATAGGATTGCCCATAATGAGGTAACAACACTGAGCACCATGTGGGGATTGGTGTGTGGGGCTTTTCTTTTTCACCTAAATGTAGGTCTAAATGTAGTCACAGCATCAGAGGTGATAGTTTGTGAATGGTTGGTTAGTTTATTAAGTGATAGCTCTTGGGTATCTCTAGTACTTGTGTTTGCATGGTATGTACCAGTGGAGTGGCTGTTGTTGTTAAATGCCATCCAGTCGGTTCCGGTTTATAGTGACCCTGCATAGGGTTTCTGAGGAGCGGCTGGACCGACAACCTTTTGGTTCAGAGTGGTACTGGTGGTTAAAATAGCGAAATTCTTCCACTTGGGTTGACAAATAATTAACTATTTTAACTCCTTGTGTCTTTGATGCCCCCCAACCTATACTTTGGACTTCCCCATGACCTGCCAACTAAAGGAGAACTCCTGCATTGGAAGTGGGCCTCCAGGACTCTACTCCAGTACTATCTATAGCCCATGTCAGGTTTCACTGAGCCATGAAATACGAGTATGAGGCATTCTGTATGTTGACTGTTACTCCTGTGTGTTACATGCTTTATTAAAATCTCATTTCTTACTTCAGAGAGTACCTAAGAAAACAAATTCCTATGGAAAAATAGTTAAAATTTAGTAAATCCATTTGTTTTTTAAAGTAGATTTAATTTGGGTGGGTTAATGTGTTGGGCTGCAAGGTCGAGTTGAGCTTCAAAATTGGTGGTTCAAGCTCACCAGCTGCTCCTTGGGAACCCTATACAAAGTCGCTATGAATTGGAACAGATTCGATGGAACTTAAAAACAGTAGTAACAACTATTGTTGTTAGGTGCCATCAAGCAGATTCTGACTCATAGCAACCCTATGCAAAAGAGAATGAACGCTGCCCAGTTCTGTGCCATCCTCATAATCTTGGCTATGTTTGAGCCCGTTGTTGCAGCCATTGGGTTAGTTCATCTTGTTGAGGGTCTTCCTTTTTTTTTTTTTTTTTTTTCGGTAACCCTCTATTTTACCAAGCATGATATCCTTCTCCAGGGACTGGTCCCTCCTAGAAAACATGTCCAAAGTAAGTGAGACAAAAATCTTAACCTTCCTCCCTTGCAAGAAGCATTATGGCTGTACTTCTTCCAAGATAGATTTATGTGTTCTTCTGTCAGTCCATGGTATATTTAATATTCTTAACCAGCTCCATAATAAAAAGAAATCAATTCTTCTGCTTTCCTTATTCATTGTCCAGCTTTTGCTTGCATTTGGGGTGATTGACTTGGGCTATTAGGCATGCAGAATGAAGTCTGTAATTCCAGTGTTATGACAATAATAGTCCTATAAATAAGATCTGTTTCTAATATAATATTAATATATAGAGAGATATAAATAAATAGTATTCATCATTGTTATAGACTAGAAAATATGGGGAAGTATAAATATCTAAACCAACATCAACATAAGCTCACAATTCAGAAATAATTACTATTAGTATTCTGTTACAAATCCCTCTGAGAGGCATTGGGGGTTCCTCACCTGTCATAAGGGAGAGCTAGGTTTGGTTCCTGGCTGTTGTACCTTACACGCAGCCACCATCCGTCCACCAGAAGCTTGAATGCTGCTGTGAGTCTGAACAGGCTCAGTGGAGCCTCCAGAATTAGTTAGAGTAGGAAGAAATACCTGATGATGTAATTTCAAACTTCAGCCATTGAAAATCCTGTGACCACAATGATCTGGCCCACAGCCAATCATGGGGATGGCTCAGGACAAGGCAGCATTTTGTTCCTTTGTACATGGGTTTGCCATAAGTTGGGGATTGACTTTATCACAGCAAACAATAACAACAATACATTTCTGTCTGGTCTTCTTCCTATGTAATTCTTTTTTTACAATTTTTTTTTTAACCCTAGCACTCTTTATTTAAAATCTGCATTTGGGATTTTACTGCATGTGGTTTGTTCTGTTTTCTGCTGTTATTTTCACAAATTATACCTTTATACTTGTGTGCTCATCAACATAGATTCATAATTATTGCTTTATGAAGTTGTCTTTTAAATCATAAAGCAGAAAAAAGGAATTACAAACAACAACAACAAAAATACATTAGAGATGAACAAACAAGATGGCGAATCAGGTAGATGTGCAGTGAGGAGCTCCGTCAGCAACAACACAGAATACTGGACCAAGCAGGCTCAGGAGATGGTCCCAGAACTCTGAACCACTTATAAAGGAATATTTAAAAGGTTGGAAGGCTTACAGCAAGGGGAATTTGTAGCAGAAGCAAGAAATCCATTCCTTTCTAATCCAAGACGCTCAGCTGCTCCCTGAGCAGCCAT